TGTAGATAATATCGTTTATTAAAAAATAGGGAATTGTTATTGACACTCCAAAAATCTTATTTTACACTCCAACTTTCTATAATTAGAAGGAAAAATACACTTTTAACGAGTGTAGCATGAGATTATTGTAGTGCTAATAATAGTTCCCAAAAAATATTAAGTAAAGTCATTTAGTACTACGGTCTAGTTGTATTCCTCTTCACTTGTAAGTGAGGAGAAATGTTTAGTTATGACGGGAACATAAGTGGTACACCACGTGGTTTAATATGAATGATGGGAAATTTTATTTTTTAAGTTATTAAATTTTTAGCACACATATCCCATCATTTGCATAGTGACACGTGGTGTACCACTTCGTGTACCGATTACACTGAAAAATCTCTCGTAAGTGAGAGGTTTTATGTTCGATTCTCGCTAAAGGTAAATTTAAACCATAATATTGCTGACTCATTGTGAAGTTAAGCCCACCTCCTGCACTTAACGTAGATAATATTGTTTGTTAAAAAAAAAACAATATACATCCTTTTTTTATTTTTTGGAAACTTACAATATACATCCTTTGACTAACAGTAAATATTCAAAGGTCCCTTTCCATTTGGAAAAATATACATGCACTGTTGAATCCAACCAACGGTTACAACCATTTTTCATTCAAATTTAGTTACATATTATACTAATTAATATTATAATATATAATTTTTCAACAACTATAACTTCCATCACGGGGTGTGTACTACTAATATATCTTTGTCAATGTAAACAACTCTGATGAGGTCTCGGTTGGCCGAATTTGGATCATGCTGGAGGACGTAAACACCATAAGTCCCGATCTTTATGCTCGGATTTCGATCCATTGAATTGCATGAGTTTGATTCCTACCAAATTACTGCAATATAAGTTTAATAGATATGATTGACTATTTTAAGAAATCAAACTCACTAATATGTGGAATTTGCTTCTATTAAACTTTTAATTTACGGCTAACTAAGTGAGTTTGATTATAATTTATAAGAATCAAACTCAAAATTTCCCAATAATTGTGGAAAAATGTTATTCTTATGCAACACCAACAAAGCATTGAATTATTTATTCTCAATGCACTCCATTACAATTCAATACTAATTCATAATGTCTAGTCTATCCCAACAAGAAATGGATTGGTTTGGTTTGGTTTAATTACAAAAATCTAAACTGGACCAATTCAAATATAATTATACTTTTACTTTCATATGTCATCTCAGGTCTAAATCAAATTGAGCCCGCCCTTAATAAGATTGTAACAAAGTGAAGTTCAATTAATTTTTTGTTATTAAAAGAACTAGTAGGTTTGCAAATTAGAGTAGCTCGCAGTTGGTGCAAGGCAAAGGCAAGGCCCAAAACTTGCCCTCCAACCTAGAATCCATCCGTGGTCCAAAAATGCAAGGGCAAGTGGTGGGCCAAGCAAAGCCTGCCCAAATGCTCGAGCATCTAAACTCTTGCCTTGCACCAATAGGCATGCTGATGTCAGTATGACGTCATGCTGACGCCAACCACCTTTTTTTAATTTTTGATATCAGGCGTGTTTAACACATGTGCAAAAAACGGTGAGTGGTACAAGCTCTACACGGGTGGGCTTCGCTGCATTAGATAAACAGCAGAGCCAAACGTCTCCATGACATGGCTTGCTGTGAACCTTTGGATTTTCAACGATCAGATGATTTGAAATTGGAAAATACCAAAACAAATATTTCTTTTTTGGGTAGTTTTATTAACACCCCACAATTTTATGAAGACACCCGCATTTTTTTTCCAATTGAACTTCCTCTTTTACCCTTATTGGTTGGGAAAAAAAAAAATGGCACCAACCAATCCCTTTGCCGGCAGCCAACCACCATATAGCACCACCCTTGAAATGATCTCAATATTTACAGTTGGTATATCAAATTAACTAATGCAATCCATTTATTGTGTTGAACTCTGTTTGCTGACTTGGGTTTTGGAATGTAAACAAGTTAATTGATTTGGAAGCATATTGTGGATTGGAGGCGTTTGATTGGTTGATGTTCGGTGATAGAAAATTTTATTGCTTGAAGTTTGACAAAGACTTTAAATTGGTTGCTTGGGTTTTGCTTAAAGTTTTGGCTTTTGTATGAATAGGGAACTTTGTAAAAAATTGAAGACGAGAGAGAGGCTAGAGAGGAGGTGACCGGAGTGGATTGACGACTCCGACGGCAGAGGTAATCAGAGGTTGTTGTCCAGTTGGGGTGTTTGGCCCTCTTTCTTTCGTTGTTAGGAGGTGGGGAGGGTTCAGAAAAATCAGGGGTAAAATTGGAATTTTGTAGGAATTTTTTGAATGTGGGTGGTTTCGTAAATTTGTGGGGTGTAAATAAAACTACTCTTTCTTTTTTCAGACAAAAAATAAAAGGTTTATTGCAAATAGTTTTTGAAATTGACCCTTACTGTCAAGATAGTTATTGAAATTGAAAATCAATCAATGTAGCCCTTAAAAATAGGTGTCGCAAATCAATGTGGTCATTTCGTCACAATTCTATTAAGTGTTGATGTAGCACATAAATTGGCCCTATAAGTCATTTTTTTCTCACAAATGATCATTGAAATTGACCCACAACATCAAAATGGTCCCTGAAATTGATATGCGACATCAAAATGGTCCCTAAAATTGACTCGCGACATCAAAATGGCCTCTGAAATTGAAAATTGATCAATGTAGTCCCGCAACTAAGTGTCTCAAATCAATGTAGTCATTTCGTCACAATTCTGTTAAAAATTCTGTTATGTGCTGATGTGACACATAAATGGGTCACCCAAGTCTAATTAAATTAAAAAAAATTACAAATAGGCTTAATAATTTAATAGTTGATAAAAAAATTGTCAACCAAAAAACCCAGTCTTGCAATTACCTCTGATCCGAGTCCACATTTCTCTACCTCATTCGCTCTCTATTCTCTAAACAAAATTTCAATACACTCATCTTTACACACTTCGATACCCTTCACCGAATTGAACCTAAATCGAGATCACTTTTGGTGACGGCTTGGCCTATTGTCAATGACTCACCGTTAACTAGGCGATCAACATCCTCACAACCTTAATCTTGAAAACTTGTTCGGCGCTTTCCTGGTGGTCTGGTGATGCAAAGAACGACGATATCTGCATTAAGATAATGAGGTTATAACCGAGGTGCGTCTATTATTGGTTGAAAACTATTCACACACCCCTCTTAGGCATTGACAAGCCTTGAGCATCTCTTTGGAGTAGATCCTACTAGGGGTGGATTTTTTTGCCAAATTGCCATGCCAACCGAATTGCCAACCGTGCAATACCGATTTTGTGCCAAATTTTTTGTACTAATCGATAATGGTACGGTATTGTACCGTACCGAAATTTCATGGTACAGTATTGGTAATAGATACCATTACCACGGTATTACCGTACCATACCGAAAATACAATATAATTTATAATTTATAATTTATATAATACATAATTATATAACACATATTTATAATATTCTAATAATTTGAAAATAAAACCCTACTTATATTAGCATTGTTGTTAGTGACTTTGATCTCTTAGAATTGTGGAAATCAAACACAAAAGAGTTCCTAATTCTTTCACAAATAGCCAAAATATCTTTGTAACCCCCACTTCTACTGTTGCTAGTGAAAATGCATTTAGTCTAGGGAGGAGGGTTGTGAACCCTTTTAGGGTATCCTTGACTCTTAAAATAATGGAGGCACTAGTCTCTACTAGTGGTTGGCTTAGGGCAGGTGAAGTAAACTTCTATAAGGACCAACGGAAGATATGCTTCAATTTTACAAGGAAATAGAAGAAGAGAAAACAAGAAAGATATGCATTAATTTTTTTAGTAAATTTGTTATTAAATGGTTTTCAACTTTAATTCTTCTTGCTACTAATTAATATGTTTTCTTTGTTTGTAATGTAGGCTTGACACAAACTCAATCTTCTACAAGTTCAATGCCTCCTCCAAAAGCTTCAACATCTCAAGCTTGAATAACTGATCAATGAATTCTCTTTTTTGAAGTTTACTTCCAATTTTCATTTGGTTTGAAACTTTAATTTCTATTTGGATTGTTAACTTCTATTTGTTTTGGTTTGTAACTTCTATTTGGATTGTAAGCTTAATTTTCATGATGAATCTTGATGAATCTTGATGCTTCATTTGAATTATTATGTGTGTGAATTGTGAATGATGAATAATAGATGAATTTAATCTATAATGTATGAGATAAAGGTACAAAAAAAGAAGTTTTGCCCTTGAATTGGGTTAAAAAAACTAAAACATATTTTGTCCCAAAACAAAATGGCAATTACCATTGCCATACCATGCCAACCAAACTTTTGGCAATACCGAACTTCGGTATACCGAAAGTTTGGTACGGTAATGGTATTAGATTTTACCAAACCAAAAATTTGGTATGGTAATTGGTACAAGGGTTTGGTACGGTAACCGTTCCGAACCCACCCTTAGATCCTACTATAAGAAAAAGAAATTTCATTGTGCAAAAAGGCATTTAGACAACCTTTTTAATTAATTATTAAACCCACATCAGCACATAACAATTTTTTTTTACAGAATTATGACAGAATGATCATATTGATTTGCGACACCTATTTTTAAGGACTACATTAATTGATTTTCAATTTCAGGAATCATATTGATCGTGTTGATCAATTTTAGGGGCCATCTTAATAGTGTGGGTCAATTTTAGGGATCATTTGTGATAAAAACCTGTAAATCATATGAGACCTATTTATGTGCCACATCAATATTTAACAGAATTTTTAATAGAATTGTGTCTGAATGACCACATTGATTTGTGACACTTATTTTTGAAGATTACATTGATTGATTTTTAATTTTAAGGACCACCTTGATAGTGGTGATCAATGTCAATGACTATTTGTAATAAAAATCTAAAATAAAATAATAAGTTTCTCAAAAAAAAAAAAAAGAAAAAAAAAAGGAATTGGGAAAGAATGAAAAAAACTAACAGATGTCTCCAAATCACAGCGTGTTGAATTAGTCTCCCGACCATTTGAATCCCATCCTCAAATTTCAATCAAAATTCGTCAACTTTCCGTCGGATCCCAAATGGGGAAATGGAATGCTGATTCCCCAAAATCTTAATTTCAAATTCTTAGGGATTCCTGATTTTTCATGGTTTGATTCATCTTTGGAAAAAGGTCGATCAGGAGAAGCAGCAATGGCGTGGAACGCGTTCAAGTTATGTACGGCTCTGCGCGCCCTCGGCTACGTGATGGTGCTGGTGGTTGTCGCCATAGTCGGGCTCACCTACTACGCCGTCGTTTTGGTCAATTATTTACCTAGCATCCTTAGCGGAGGCGTCAATTTCGTCATTGCCTTCCCTCTCTTGATCTTGTTCCATTTTCTGGTAATTCCCGTTTCCCCCTAAATTTTTATTTATTTTAATCAATTTTCATTCTCTAATTCAATTTAATTTACCTAGAAATTAAGAATATGCATAAATTCATATATGAATGTGTGATATGTACGAATTTGTGATAGTTTTTGTATATTAAGCTAGAAGGTTTTGCTTTATGTTTGGATTATTTGATAAAAAAACAGGACGACCCCAAGCCAACAGGGCTCCTCGCTTTGCAAGGGCCGGGAGAACGTCTATCCTAAGCAGTCTTATCCTTGCTTTGCAAAAAGGTTGTTTCCATGAGGAATGACCTTTCTGTTGCGCCAACCTTTCTATTGGACTATTTGATAAGGGGAAAATTGGAGCAATGAAACCATGGTAAAATGCTTTGAAATTTGCTATTTATGTGTTGGAATCAAAGAGAAGCAATTGGGTAGTAAAGTTAGTGACTTGAGTTTTCTACTTTACAAGCTGGGAAAGTGACATATTTTGTGTTTGAAGTTTCTCGGAGATTTTCTTAACTACTTCAGATTAAGGGAAACGTTACTGGTAGAGGATTGTACATTGCTCTGGTCATAGTAAAATGTTTACTTTAGAAATAAAGCTTTCAGTTGGGAAATGTTATTGTTCAACTGTAGTACAACTTATGGTCTTACCAATACCATGCATCGTGCATGTGAGGATTGAAGATTGCCTTTGTGCATATAATGTTCTCATCCACATGAGTGTAGTAAATTTCTTTGGCCACAAGGCCCGCAACAATTTAAATGTGACACATTTTACTTGGAAGTTGGAAAAAGGAATTTTAATTCGAGGTTTTAAAGATTTAGTTCCTTTTTTGGTTTTTTGAATTTTCCTATTTTGAACGCTTAAATTGAGAATGGTGATAAATTCAACTTTGCAAATTGGAAAGTATTAAGTTTGGGAAAGTTAATTTGGTTATGTAGTTGGTGATGCTGTTGTGGAGCTACTTTAATGTTGTTCTGACGGATCCTGGGCGCGTTCCACCAAATTGGAGGCCTGCAATTGATGAGGAGACGGGTGATGAAGCCCCATTGGTGGGATCAGACCAATCCACCATGGTCAGTGATCCAGCAAATCAAAAAATACGGTTTTGTCGGAAGTGCAACCACTATAAACCACCTCGTTGCCATCATTGTTCTGTTTGTGAGTACTTTTATTCCAGTTGCCTCTTTTGAAAACGTATATCTGGTGTTGGACAAAGAATGAAAGGTTCATTCTTTCCATTTATGTGTTTGTTTTAGGTGGGAGGTGTATATTGAAAATGGACCATCATTGCGTTTGGGTGGTCAACTGTGTTGGTGCACTGAATTACAAGTACTTCCTTCTCTTCTTGGTATGTTACCGCACTATGTTTGTTTAAATCTCTTGAGAGGCACAATTTACCGACTGGCAAGATAAGCAGTAACTACTTGAATTAAATGAGATATTATTTGATGTATGACTTTGTATCTTTATTACTTTATTGCAGTTTTACACATTTCTTGAGACAACTCTTGTCACCTTATCATTATTCAAGTATTTTATGGCATTTTTACTGAAGAGGAGATACCGGGAACATTGGGCACTGTTGCAGCTAGTTTTATCACATTTGGTAAGTTTTTAGATGATCAATTTTCTGAATTATTTTTCAATTTGACATCATCCGTATTTTCTCATATTTGCGATTTCCATTTTCAGTTTTGAACTTCGCATTTGCTTTGAGTGTTTTTGGCTTTATGATCATGCACCTATCATTGGTGGCGTCCAATACCACCACTATTGAGGTGATGGCTTTTATTATACTGAATATGATTCTATGGCTTATTCTAGTATTTCTTATATGAGATTCTTGATTTCATCAGGCATACGAGAAGAAAGCCACTACTAAATGGCAGTATGACCTTGGTCGGAAGAAAAACTTTGAACAGGTTTGATTGTTTGTTCTGTATACTTTGTTTTTTTGTTTTTTGTTTTTGTTTTTTGTTTTTGTGGTCGCTGATTGTTTGTTCTGAATACTTTGTTTTTTTTGTTTTAGTTTTTTGTTTTTGTGGTCGCTGTGTGTGTGTTTAATTTATATTCTAACCAATACTATAAATTCTCTGTCTTTTATGTAAGACTCTTCTAATTAATGTCAAACCATTAATCTTTGATCAGCTGTAACGTCTTATGTGACTGAGAGTGAGATACACCGCCTTATAACATATATTACCTTATTACTGACTTGCAACTTGGTGCGATGGCAAGTGCCTTCGCCCATGAGCGGTAGGTCTTGGGTACGAGACTTGGGAGCAGCCTCTCCATAAATGGGGGTAAGGCTAGCCGACATTCACCTCTCCCAGACCCTGCGTAAAGTGGGAGCCTTGTGCACTGGGAACGACCTTTACTGACTTGCAACTCCATACGTTCCTTCTGTAATCAGTTCCAGCGCACACTCACTTGCACATTTTATTAAAAGCAACAGCATTTGCGGGAAAACTAACCAAACTTGTACAGCATTTTGGTAATGCAATATCTGAATCCGGCTTACGTCCATGAGGATGGCCTCCCCCAACCCCTTTTTGTAGGTGTTATTCTATGATCCTCAACAAACCAGTTTGAAATTAGATCATTTTTGCAAATCCAACCCCCACAATTGACTTCAAAACCCCCACAGATGATCAGAACTGAAAGTTATACTTTGCCTGTAGAGGATAAACAGTGCTGATTTTTCCCCCAAGTTTGTGAAGAATATGTTAGAAAGTTGTACCAAAACCTAACTGAACTAGTTGTCTGATTTGCAGAAGTATACGCTGTTGCATGTAATGTTGAATTTACCATTATTTTGTTAGGTGTTTGGGACGGATATGTGGTACTGGTTCATCCCTGCATATTCGGAGGAGGATTTAAGACGGATACCAGCTCTCCAGGGTATTGATTATCCAACAAGGCCCGAGTTGAATGCACTTCAGCCATTATAAGTATTCATGGTAGCGAAAGGACAATGTTGCAGTTCTCTCCTCTTATGCACATGTATAGGGGAAGCAGAAATTTGTGTTTCTTTCGTACAAGGCTCTTTGCTCGTCAACACTGCATTGACCTGCATGCACCGGCAGCAGTTCAGATCATACTTTTGCTTGGGAGACATAATGGCTGGAAGTTAATTGAGGATTGGCTCAATTGGTGAATTTACGCGCATAGATTTTTGGTCGATACATTTTATATAGTGATGTAATGTGTGATCTCCACGAGGAACGTGAGCATTTTTCCGTACAACTTGTTCCGTTCCTAATGTCGTGTGCAGGCTTGTTGAATTGATCCTGTGAATTTCTCCACCTTGTACCAATTTCTCCTTAATCTCTTGGATTACAGAAAAGAGTAGCATCTAGATTGTCGTTTGAGTTGTGTATGAGATTTCGGATTTTACTGTTTCTTTATGTCTAATTGAAAAATGGCTCTGCTGTGGGGAATGGGAGGGAGAGAGAGAGAGAGAGAGAGAGAGAGAGAGAGAGAGAGAGAGAGAGAGAGAGAGGAGGAATGACTGAGTTAAACTTGCTTGTGCCACATAAGCCATTCTAACATTTATTTGACAGAATAGAAATAAGCATGATACTTCTTGAGAAGAAGTTCTTGAGAAGAAGAAGAAAAAAAAAAAAAAAAAAAAAAGAGTTTTATAGGGGCAAAGTAAGAGCAAGTATAAATTTCGGACTGACTGACGTAGATAAGCCTATTATCAATAAAAAGGGCACTTATTATGCTCCATATTATCAATTTACCCATACATGCTCCCTGTCCAATGATTAGTTTGTATGGACATGTGACATTATTAAGGCCTGGTTTGGTACTGAGGTGATTCTGTAAAAAAGTGGGAGCTGTTTTTGTGTTTGGTAAACATTTAGCTTCAGTTTTTTTTCACAGTTTTTGGGTGAAAAAAAGCCAAAAACAAGAAGCTGCAAAACCCAGTTTTGAAAAACTGGTTTTTTTTCACATCTGTTTTACATAAAATTTTACCAAACACTATAATACAGTTTTTTTTTTTCAAAAGCACTTTTACAAAAAAGTTTACCAAACACTCTGCTACTTTATTTCACAGCTGCTTATTCTCACAGCACAGCATAATCAGTTTTTTTTTCAAAGCACAGCAATACCAAACCAACCCTAAATCTATCAAATACCGAAGGAAACTATGGCGCCTCAAAGCACTTTTTAGCAAGGTATCCTCAAAGGTGGGAGAAGTTTTTAGTTGTAATTGGAACACGGATGGTACACCACGTGTTTTTATGCAAGTGGTGAAAAATTTTAGTTTTTAAGTTATTAACCTTTTAACACGCATAACCCACCATTTATACATAGACATGTGGTGTACCACCTTATATGACGGTCACACTGAAAAATCTCTCCAAAGATGTGGTTATCATTTTGCCAAAAGTAAACCTACTTGCACAAATTTATAGAATTCATGCTTTTAGTTGAAAGAAAGTCATTGAATTTTTTTTTTTGACTAATTGGATTATTAGTCCCCAATGATAGGGTAATTGAAAGATAGTATCTGTGGTAAAAAAAACTATGATATAAGCTCTTATGGTGAAGTCTGTTAGGATTTATGCGCAAAATTAAAAATTTTGTTAACTTTCTGTTAATTGTTAATATGTAAGCCACACATATTAGGCTAACATGGAGTTCTCCATACACATATTAGGCTAAAACGGAATTCTTTGCTAATTGTTAGCACGGACTGGCTCGTGTACTAATAATTAACATAAAGTTGACGGAATTTTTAATTTTAGGCATAAATATTCCTAACAGACTTTATCACAGGGCTTAAATCCTATTTTTTTTTTTTTTAAGATTTTGGCTATATTTTAACTACCTTATTATGGAAACTATTAATCTAACTAAGCTTTTTTTTTTAATAAAAAACACGATATTTTAATAAATAAACTATAAGCGTGCAGGACGTCTGCATATTAAGCAATAAACTCGGAAGAAAAAACTTCGGAACATTTAATCAAGACCCAAAGTCAAGCTCATACAACAAAATCTTGATATCATGGGTGACTAGGAGTCAAATATTCTGTACAATCAACGGATATAATAAAAAGAAAAAAATCACTTAAGTATTCCTCCTTATTTATTAAATTTTAAGTTTGATTCTCGTCAAAAATGAAATTATTATTAACATATTATAAAATTAAACCCACTGTTTAGCTTTTAGTGTATCGTTTGTTAAAAAGGAAATAAAAAGAAAATAAAAAAGAAAAAGGCAAAAGGAAATGTGAAAAAGAAAACAATGGGCCTGGGCCGCCTGGCCTAAAAGAACAAAAGAGAGAACTTTTTGGGCAGATCACGCCATGGCCTAGCGACACGTAACAATGGCGGCAACACTTGTACGGTGACGTTTGGTGACAATACTAGAACCTTCCAGCACATCGATTGAATTCTTTGCGTCTCTCTCTTCCGCCATTGGAGTCGGTTGAGCTAGCTTATCAAAACCCAATCAACAGAGGCACCTGGAAACCCCTTTCATCGAAGCATTTGCTACTGAGCCGATTAGGGTTTTCTGCGGTTCCGATTCAATTTCCTCCGATTTCTACTTCCTTTCCGACGAGGTACTCATTTCTTAACTTTTTTTTTTTTTTTATTGTAGAAAAGCAATTCACATGAAAAAATGAAAAATAAAAAATGATCATCCCTATGATTTAATTGCGATCATTGCTTTGTTTGATGATTTGTGAATTAATACGTGATTTGGTGTAAATTGATCATTTTCTTGTTGAATTCTGACCCGATTTAGGGCTTTACTTTGCGATTTGTATAGGAAAGAAGTTTCTAGATTTAGGGTTCATGTTGCTAGTAGGGAAATGCTTATAGCTTGCTTTACAAAATTATCCGGATTAATCAAATGAATTTCAAATTTTGGTGACTCTGGATTGTGGAAAACGCTTCATCCACTGCATGTGTTAAAGTTAGGGGTTGCCCCTTTTTTTTGTCAGGGATTATAGTAGCTAGAAAATGCAGAGAGGCAGAGGTGGACCAGGTGGGAGGGGTCCTTTCTCCGACTTCAATGACCCGTTTTCCGGTTTTGGGGGCTTTGGGGGATTAGGGGGTCAGAGGAGTTTGATTTCTGACTTTTTTGGAGGAAGGGATCCTTTTGATGACCCGTTCTTCACTCGCCCATTTGGAGGTATGTCCCCGTTTGGAGGTATGTCTCCATTTGGAGGTATGCCCCCATTTCGAGGGATGTTGGAGTCGAGTGTTTTTGGTCCAAGTGGTGCCAATTTTCCGGATATGCAGCCAAATGGGTTTATTGAGCATCAGGCTCCAGAGCCCAAGAGATCACGGGGCCCTATCATTGAGGAGATAAACTCTGATAATGAAGACGAAGATGCTGACAATGAGAAAAAGGAAAATCCTCGAAAGCGCAGTGGACCGAGCAATGAACCATATGTTGAGGATCCTGATGATGAAGTTGAAGGTAGATTGTTTTATTTAGTTTATTGCTGTTGGACCTTGGTAATTGTTGAATGTCTTTTTTGAGTCCAAAATATTTAGGGCTACTTTTTCCCCTTTGGTGCAGAGAGGAGCAGCAAGCAATTGCAGCATAGGGACAACTACAGCCGGTCTAATTCTATGCAAGCGCAGCCTCAAGCTCACAGCTACACGTTTCAGAGCTCCACCGTCACTTATGGTGGTGCCAATGGCGCATATTATACATCCTCCAAGACAAGGAGGATGGGGAGTGATGGGGTAAGTAGTTGTGAAAGATTCATGGCGTTCCTTTTTTACCCTCGTAGTTCTTTTTCTCATTTCCACTTTTTGTGTGGGTAGCTGGCTTTTGAAGAAAGCAAGGAAGCTGATAGTACTTCTAGGCAAGCAACTCACAGGGTATCAAGAGGGCTCCACAATAAGGTGTTTTATGATGACATGCGGATACTTATGCTGATGTCTCTTTTGCCTTTTGGATTCAAATCTTTGGTCATCAATTTCATGACGTCCAGTAGGACACTTACAGTGAGGATTCTTCTTTTAGGGCCATTCAGTTACGAGGAAGCTCAAAACGGATGGTAAGGTGGATACAATGCAGACCTTGCACAATCTTAATGAAGGTATGTGGACCTTATACACGATGCCATGTTTGTGCAACAAGGTTCTTAAGAAATTGTTTTAGTATATAGAGAGACTAACTTGGAGTATCTGATTGGTTCAATACTAGATGAGCTTTCCGGGTTTGAAGAAGCATGGAAAGGAACTGCTAAGAAACATTTGCCTGTATTGGCTGATAAATTTGGTGGATATGAAAATATAGGTGAGTTTATATTGTTTACTAATCTGAAATCATGCATTCAGCAATGGTCAAATATCATTTTTGCGTTTTGATGTTGACCAAATGTTCTGCGTACAAAACTGGGCAACATATTTGGCGTATGAATACTGGCTGATTTCTACTGCTTTACTTGATTAAACTGTTTGTTTACTGAATATACCACTAAGTGGGTGAGAAAGAATTCCTGGATGAATTCCTCAAGGTTCTTACAGCTTTCTAGTGCCTGTTTGTATATTATTTTCTGTCCCTTTTCAAGAGGTTTTGAGAGGTGCTTTGTCTTGTTAGTTTGCGTTGGCAACCTGGAATATATTCAGGGATAACGAGTTGTAATTGTGCAAGTGCTACAGGTGCATACTATACCATGAACCTATTTGCATATGTTGCTCGTCTGTTCCCTTTTTATGAGGGGAGCTATTTTAGGATTTAGTTGAATGGAGGCCAACGTTAAAAATGAAAAATTATGAACTCTTATTATTGTCACAAACCAACTGGGCCCCGACATGTTTTTTTCATTTTAACCCGTAGCGGTTTTTTGTTCGTTTCTAGGAGCCGGCAGCAGCGGACATGGGCAGGCTAGTCGGCAAGGTTGGGCGCTTCCATCCAATGAGCATGTACAGAACCCCGGCAATATGATTGAAGATGCTAGAGACAAGGCGGGAGGATCTTCTCACTCAAACAAGTCTGGTAGTAGGATGAGAGCAGATGTAAAGGACACGAGTGGCTATTCCCGTGGGAGAGGAAGAGCGTAGATTCGAGCTAGCACAGTGAGTGCCTAATATGCCATCGGTCCCATTGGACTCGTGCTTTACCGCATAATAGCGTAGTGTTTTGTTGCATATTTTGTGGTCATGGCCGAAGAACATCGGGTGTTGGTAGCGGGCATATGTTTACGGTTTAGTTTTAATTGATGCTATGTGAGATGGATATGGTTATGTAATCTTAATCGAGTCTTATCTGATGCCCATGAATCTTTGATTAAAGGGGTTCCGTAGTTCATTGATAA